ATGTTAAGAGTTGATGTATATTATGTTAAAAGTTTATGTTTATTATGTATTATGTTAGATTATGTGTATTATCTTTTAAAAAGAGTATGTATATTTTGTTATAACATTATGTGTATTCATGTATAACATTATGTGTATTCAAGTATAACATTATGTACATTCTTGAACAGCGGGTTTTTTTTTTAAAGAAAAGCCTACTGCCATTCACTGGGGCGGAAAATTTCAAAAAAAAAAAATTAATTAAAACGACGTCGTTTTGCATCTGGGCGCATAGTGCAATGTACGCCGTGGTGTAGGATATAAATTGCCACATATTCATTCGTTTTTCTTCATATTTCATTTCCTTTTGAATATATATATATTTCTTTTTTTTTTTCCTTCATAAAAAGAATTAATATTGATTTTTATTCATTTTTCTAATAATTGTCGATTAATTGGCCTGATTTTCATGTCGATTAGTAACATGATATTAATAACAGATTTCTTTGTGAAATATTCATTTCCTTTCTCGTTCATAAAAAGAATTAATATTCATTTCCACATAATTAAAAAGTAATATAATTATAAAAAATATAATTACTGATTATATTTCCAGTAAACTATTAATATATTCATTTCATTTTTCCTTCATAAATAATTAATATAATTATAATAATTATAATCATATAATTGTTGATTATATTTTAAGTGAAATATGAATATATTCATTTCCTTTTTCACTCATAGAAAGAGTTAATATTCATTTCCATTTCTTTTTTCCTCATAATTTTTTCTAATATTTCACGTGTTGGTTACTAATATTTTCGTAGGGAAAGCGGTGTTATATTTTCAATAAATTTTTAATATTAAATCTTTTTTTTTTCATTTGGCCTAATTCCCGTGTCTATTAGTATAACAGAATATTAATAATAGATTTTCGTGTCTAAATTTTATTTTTTTCCTTTCATATTCATTCCCTTTTTTCTTCATAAATAATTAATATAATTATAATAATATAATATAATTACTGATTATATTTTAAGTGAAATATGGATATATTCATTTCTTTTTTTCATTCATAGAAAGAGTTAATATTTGTTTTCATTTCTTTTTTCTTCATAAATTTTTCCTAATATTTCATTTGGTGGTTACTAATTTTTTCGTAGGGAAAACTGTGTTATATTTCCAATAAGTTTTTAATATTAAATCCTTTTTTCATTTGACATGATTCCCATGCCTATTAGTATAACAGAATATTAATAATAGATTCTCGTGTGTAAAATTCATTCTTATTTCTAGTCATAAAAACAATCTGGTACGTTTGTAATATTCATTTTCAATCATAAAAACAACCTGGTACAATGTTTAATAATCATTTTCTTTTTCCTTTACCCTAATTTTATGTTTAGCAAATTAGTTATTTACTTATTAAACACATTTTTTTTAATTCGAGTCCATTTTTAATATTAATTTCATTTTTCTTTTAGTCTGATTTCTGTGTCAATTAGTAACAGAATATTAATAACAAATTTCATTATTACAATTAATTCTTTAGTTTTTTTTTTGAATTAGAATAATGATAATTGTAATTATATTAATTAATTAATTGTATGGATATTTTTTTGCAATGAGATACAGATCTACCAATGTACCCAGATGTGTTCTCCTGCCTTAAAGCCTAATGAATCATACACATGTTGCATCTTAAATGCAGGTAGATATAGACATTCAATTTTTTTATTTTTTTTTGAGAATGCTAATCGATTCACTGATAGTTGAAGATAGATAACAATACTTATAATATGAAATTAAACCTTTTGGAAGAATAATATGAAATTAAACTCAAATCTAAGTTACTTTACATCTATTAATCCCTAATTGAGATTATATAAAAACGAAACATAGATTTAAATGATTTCATCTAAGAGCTTGTAAATATGGTGACTGCTTTAGTGTTTTTAGAGAGACAACGTGCTTTACCAATTTGCCAGGAAGAACCAATCTCATGCTAGCCTGGATCTCGCGGGAAGTGATTATCGGCTTCTTGTTGTAGTGGGCCAAGCGAGTCACCTCTTGGGCGAGCTTCAAGAAGATATCGTTGATGAAGCTATTCATGATGTTCAAACTGCAAAACATATTGAAGTACGTGAGAATATAGTTAGAAAAATGTAGAAAATTCATACAAAAAGAAAGCAGGAAGATGAGTCTGAGATTCTTTGATTGAAGAAACTCTTGTATTTATAGATAGAAAATACTAATTCAAAAGGAAAGTATAATAATTTATTTATTTAAGGGAAAGTATAATAATTTATTTATTTAAGGTAATAACATTATTATTATTATTATTATTATTATTATTATTATTATTATTATTATTATTATTATTATTATTATTATATATTTAATTTCCATTTGACATTTACTTACCAAATAAGTTTTACTACAAAAGTTTTGGGGGAAAAATTTGTTAGGAGGATTTTACTTTTATATATATATAGATATAGATATAGATATAGATTATTATTATTATTATTATTATATATATATATATATATATATATATATATATATAGTATAGATTACAATAGGAATTGTATTACACTATTTTAAAATATTATAATAGAATTTTAACCCAGAATTATTGTACGAATAGGGAAGTAGAAATCAATATATTTTATTAGGAAGAGAGATTTTTTAGGAATTGGGCGGGAAGTTAAAATTGCAGGATTTTATTTTTATATATAGTATAGATTCTTAGAATATAGAAATCAATTGTGCTAATAACACTTTGTATACATTCTTCTATTATTATTCATTTATTTAAGTCGTTGATATATATATATATATATATATATATATATATATATATATATATAACTTAGTGATATTATGTTTATTACAAGTATTAATTACTACGATTAATTGTAACTTTATATAAATATTAATATATTTATTTAGTAAATATAAAGTTTATAACTTTTGTTTTTTTTTTAAACATAAAGTTTATAACTTTATAATAAATTATTATTTTTTTTTGAAAATAACTTTATAATATTTATAAACTAATAAAAAGCTATAAAAATTTTAATCCGTGACATACTAATTGTCAAGATAAATTGTTTTCCACTATACTAAAAGTTATAGTTAGTAGTGAAGACACAATTTTATTTCATTATAGTTGCATAGCAATCAACGTCACGTTTTTATGGCAAGTTGTTAGACTCATTCCTCTAAGTCTAAAATTATAAATTAAATATATTACATATAAATTATAATAGTGTTAAATGTAAATTAAATAAATTATAATTATATTATATTACAAATTAAAATCTAATTATTTGAACATAAATTAAAATTCAATTATCTAAACTTATATTATATATATACACACTTCAGATTTGTTTAACAAGTTCATTGTGTCTAGTTGATAAAGCTTCTAATTGTTCACTAGTAGGTTTAGGTTCGAACCTTACTACGTATAATATGTTAGAAATTTTAAAAGTAATATAATTAATGAATTATTTAATTAATAATAAAACGGGTTGACGGGTTAGCCCGTTTAGCTCGCCAGCCCGTGTTTAGTCCGATTGGCGAAAAATAGGTCGTAATATCGTGGACCGCGGTGTACATGCACCGCGGTCTAAACGGTGCCGTTTGTTTTAACAGAGTGCGCATTTTTTTGTATGTTAATTACAAATTGACACTACAGTATATCTAAACCGACACTGTCTCACGTATTATTTTTATATTATCAAATGAAACTCCAGTTATATCAAAATGATACTGTAGTTGTGGTGAAATGAAATTGCAGTGTATATAAAATGAAACTGAATAATATTTCACATATTTGAGTGTATATTGTATAATGAAGCTATAATTATATCAAAATGATCATGTAATTGTGTTTTTTTTTTTTTTTTTTTTTGAAGAAAACATGTAATTGTGTTTTAATAAAACTATAGTGTATATAAAATAAAATTAAATAACATTTTCACATATTTGAGTCTATAAATATCGAATGAAACTCTAGTTGTGTTAAACTGAAACTGCAGTGTATACAAAATGAAACTGAATAACAGAGTTACTTTTTGCGGAAGGGTGCAGAACGGCAAGAAACGGATACCGTTTCTTTGCATTAAACAAAACGACGTCGTTTTGATGCGCGGTGCATAATCGATTATGCATTGCGGTGCACGATATAATTTGCCGCCAAAAATCCCAATCCGTATTCAAAACGGGCCGAGTCGAGCCCGGCCTGTTTTTCTCTGCCCCGTGATCGGTCAGCCCGTATGGGCCAGACTAACCCATTTTGACAGCTCTACACAGATCTAGCACAAGGTGCTTGGCAGAGAATATAATATATTAAATGGCTACAACTTAAATACCTATGAATTTAAGTGTTTTACCAACATAAATTCTTTGGTAAATTAAATACTTAGGATTTTAGTGATTTACCAACAGATTTTTTCATAGGTAAATTTAATTTTCTTGTAATGAGTCATTATATACAATATACTCAACATCCTAAAGGAAAAAAAAATGTGGCATAGATGAAAGAGAAGGTCATAGGTTTGATGGCATCGCTATAGCCCTTCTAAACGGAAGGTTACATGTTCAAGTCTCATCCCAATTAAAAATGTTGACATATTATGTTGTTGAGCAAATACTATGGATATGTTAGATCCTAGTAACAAAAAACACTTACAAAAAGTTTTTGTCCCTGTTTGGTAACATTTATGTATGATTAACATAAATAATATTATGATCAGGGAAATTATTTGAGGATGTTGCAGAGTTTTCCAAATAATCATAGAAGAAAATTCGATCTAATAATATATACGAAGAAAATTGCTCATTATTTGGACCCATCATATTATATAAACTACAACATTATCCATTTATTTGTACAATGATAGATAAAGGGTGGACTATGTAGACCGCAAAAGATTGTATATAACTGAAAAAGTGCAAGGGCATTGTAAACTCTATTTGATTGTGCAGATCGAAGTGAGATTGCTCCATTTTTTTACCTGATGAAGTGAGTTTTACTAATGACAAAATCCATTTCCATGTTTCTCAGTATACATTTTATAAGGTTCACAAAGCAATACCAGAACATATGAGAGAGGAAAGCTAGCTATCTATCAAGTAAAACTCACTAATGCTTGACTGGCAGTGATCTTGTTTTCCCTGAAAGTAAACTCATTAGATGATTTCCAAGCTAATCAAATTGGAAATGATGTCTACTTGTTCCGCTTTTTGGCCTGCTTTCCTTGCCCCTTCTTAGGTGGTCCCTTTCCACGACGCTTCAACATTTCAAGCTTGCTCAACCGCCTGTTAAACCATAAACCTATGAGAAACAGAAACTCACTATTTTACAGACAAAAAAACACATTACATTTCCAATGTTACAAACATCATCAAATGGATTAAATGTTCACACTTTTCTAATTAATGCTGAAGACTTCAGCATCAATGGTGATAATTACCAAACTTCTACCTATGAAATGCAGTATTCGGCCTGAGTTTTGTGAAACAAAGCCGGATATAGAGAATAATGAACTAAAAGGGAGTGTAATTTGGAATTAAACTCCAAAGCTCAACTTCGAGAGTCCATCTATATTTATATTTTTTAAATTACTTAGCCTCCAATCATATCAGAGATTTGAAGATTTCAATAAAGTCTTGGGTCAGTACAATTCAGACCAAGTGCATCTCCTTGCACAAAATGCTGGGAAAATAATTAAGTGGATGCATCTCCTTTCATAAAATGTTAGGGAGACAATTTTAAGCAATTATATGCAGATGACTATATATATCACGCACACACATAGAAAGAGAAGATGAGGGGAAGGCAATACTCTTGTTCTTCTTGTGCCATGACAAGTGGATCATCCTTTCTGATGTCATGTGGATACCACTGCGCAACCTTGTCTCCAATCAGCTTCTTGCGTAGAATTTTGTGAGCAGATCTCTCACCTGTAGGGTTAAGCACGTGCCCAAATATCCTTGCCCTCGCCTCAGCCACCCCTCCAATGGCTACCGATGCCAGCAAGTTCTTCAGTCTCCCAGCGCTCATTTCTTCTTCTGCTGCAGCTCAAGGCTTCTATTAGACAAATGGTCAAACAGTTACAAGGTAGGGTTAATGAACTATCCAGAAAGTTATACTACTAAAAAAATCACACATTCAATTACATAATGTAACTCATCTCATTGCAAATGTTCTTTATTTCTATATCTTCTATATCTACAGAAATTTATGCAATGGAGAAGAGAGAAGTTCTTCAAGAGAAGAAAAGGGGAGGGTATTTACCTGAAGCAGAGAACTAGGCTTAGGAATGGCAACAGGGTAGGGGTGGGGACATATTCCCCATCTCCTCCAGGGGAAAAGAATTCTTTCCCCATCCCAGTTCCCAGTCAAACATATACAATTCTTAATATTAAAGTTAAGAAAAAAAAAAAAAAAAAAAGCCAATTCTAATCCTACAATAACAATTAACCAAATCCAAATCTTCATGAAATTCTCAAGGGCAACAAAAATGCAAAATACAAACTTCAAAGTCTTTATTCTAAAGTCTTCATCCAAATATAAGAACAAAATACAAAATGCCATATATATCCAAATACAATACAAATAGTCTTCGTTCTTCAACCAACTCATAGAACTCTAACCTCATTCAAATTATAACATCACATTGTCACATTGTCAGCATTCCAAATCAAATCAGTTCAAAAATCAGTGTACACAGTGCTTTAACATTAATATACCATATTACCAATTTTCAGTTTTGATTCATAGTGAAACATTTTTTACTCATCATAACATACAATTCCATTAAAGGTTCCATAATGCACTCAGGTAATAAAATTTTGCATAGAAACATTTGTCTTCCATTGACAGTTCTAATACTAGAAAACCTTATGGTTTCGTTGAGAGTTTCATCAAAGGTTTCAGCACATATTGGTCTTAAATGATTCATTCTAGTTAAACCTTGATTTCAAGTAACAAATTCATGAATACCATTTAGAGTTCAAGCACTATAGAATTTATAAGCTCGCAGAACTCAATGGTTCCATTGTGGGTTCTGTTGTTCAAAAATTAGCTGTTGCATCCTCCAAATCACTTCATTCGTTGGTTCAAACAATCATTGTAGCAACCAATCAAATTTCCCTCTTTACTTTTACTATAAATACATAGAGTTTGGATATTCATTTCAGCTATAAATAACCAAGCACTCAATTCCCTTGTTCAAATCAAATTTCTATGTATTTATAGAGCTTTAAAGTGTTAAAAACCTTCTACATTCTCCTTCATAAATTTCTTGGAAGCCCTATGCTTAAATATTTTAAATCCATTACTTGCAATAAACTAGATTGAGCCCCTAGAACTTACTTGTCTATTATCCTTACACTCAATTCATATATCAAAAATCGTACACTATTAGCCTAAATATTCACATGTATTTCACGGTAAATTAATCCAAAATTTATCCATGAGGAATCAATTGAGAAGTATGAACATTTACCTGGAAAGATGAAGATTCAAAAGCAACCAGCAAACTTCAGCTCTTAAATTTATACTTCACAAGCTTCGACTGAAAGAAAGAGTTTGGGAGAACGATGATGAGATTGGGAGCCTCTGCCAAGGAGTACGAGAGCGGAGAGGCGAAGACATGTAATTGGGAAAAAGAGACTATATAAAATGCACTAAAACGACGTAGTTTAGATATAGTAGTGACTTTTTGCATTGCACTTTTACACTTGGACATATTTACTCTTAAAATAAATATTAAAAATAAATATTTCATTTATTTTTCTTCTTCAACAAATTATGACCACAATTTGGTTCAAACTAAACAGACACTATAGTAACCAAACCGAAATATTTCAATTACAATTTAGAATCGAAATTCGAAATTTAGAGTTTATTAAAATCGCGAACCGGAACGGCGGTTCATGTTCCGAACTAAAAAAAATAAAATACATTTATTGTTGAATTTAAAATAAAGACGGTTCTTTTAATTAAATTTCTAGATCACTGAATAAGTGTGCTCACGCTGTAACACGAGCGGCTTTACCAGCTTATTCCCAACCTGGTCCCTCAGTTTGGATTTCATCTATTCCGTCTTTTATTGAACACTTAATTTAATAAAGCTTATGTTTCCTTTCCAAAAATAAAAAATAAAGACGGTTCAAAATCGCGAACCGGATCCGGAACCGTCAGTTCACAATTCAGGATCCAGTTTTTTCGATTCATAATTTTTATAAATTGAAATCCAAATATTGGATTACGGATCTGATTCATAACCGGAAACTTTTAATTCGATTGTTATAGTGTCCGGTTCAGTTCGAACCGAACCGTGATCATTCCTACGTATATGTAATAATTTGTTGGAGAAGAAAAATAAATAAAATATTTACTTTAAGGGTAGAAATGTCAATTTAATATATCGGGGGAAAACCGCCACTTTTAGAATAATTGAGGGGGTTAATGTGCTTACATGAATAAATTCAGGGAGAAAAAGTTCTATAAGTATATAACTCTGGAGGAAAAAGTGCAATTTTCTCTTAAAACAATTGGAGGATCAATTCGACCAAATTAAAGATTAAGGACTAAAATGACAGTTGCAAAACAATTGAGAGACCAAAATAGTGATTTTTCTTTTCCACTTTATACAATTGAGCTATTGCACCAAAAAAAGAAACATACAATTGAAACATTATACAAGCAAAGATTATACAATTAACATTTTTTTACATTGATCTAATAAAACAAGTCAAATTGATGAGTTGAAAATTAATATAAGACAAATTCTCTTATAAAACCGTCTAATAGATTTTCTATATTGACATTTCTTTTTGCTATTTATTGATTGATGCACCTTTGTGGGGTAGTTAACTTTGTCTATTTCTCTATATTCAAACTCATAAGTTATTATTTGTATTGTCAAAAATAGTGTATGCAATTGTAAATAGATATGCATTTGAGTTAGACATGAAATTGTACGTAAGACAATTGTAAACAATCTACTCACTATAGAGTAGGTGGGATCTAAGAGAAACTTTGTTGATTCTTTGACAAAAGGACTAAGTAAAAGATTGGTCATTGTTTCATTGAGGAAAATAAGTTTAAAACTTTTTGGGGTGATGAATTCATAGAAGGTCCAATTAGGGATGGTAACGGGGTGGGACGGGAGTAGGGTCCCCGTGTTAAGCCAATAAGTGGCTAAAATATCTTTAGTTGTTACTTGTTCTATTTATGCTCCTATAGACTAGTTATATTTGATTGTAACTTCTTGCTATCTACACTCCTCCATGTACTATATATATGTTGTGGTTTATATCAATAAACATGTAGTCAATCCATTCACATGGTATCAAGAGCCATATTCCCCTAAGGAGTTTTTTTTTTTCTCCTCTTTCGCCATTCTTATATCCATGGCTACCACCACCACTGACATTGTTCACCTCAATGCTCCGTCTAATTTTCCTATCAAACTCACCCCCTCAACTTTCCTGTTCCCCGCCGGGATTTGGAATTGCCCCCATTCTTGTCCCCGTGGAAATTTTTTGGGGACGGGAATTCCTCGTTTGTTTTTTTATTCAAAGCAAAGAAAAAACATACGCAATTACTCACATACTGCCAGTATCACAATTAGCACAAAACATGACATTATGTTTAAAACAGAATGCTTTAATTTACTACCAGACTGTAGCAATAAAAGCAAGGGTGGGTTTTTTTTTTTTTTTTTTTTTTTTGACTAGATTTAAAGCCTTAGTTACTCGTGTTTTTAAGGCCAAATATTTCCCAACCTCCTCCGTTAATCATGTCAAGCTAGGCAGTGATGATCCCTCTTTTATTTGGAGAAGTGTGCGGGAAGCAACTAACTAGCTTTAACGGCCCGTTTGGTTCACGGAATATGCCGGGAATGGCATAGCATTCCCAGTAATAGGCCTATTCCTTTGTTTGGTAACCATGTCTATTACCAGGAATAATATTCTTAGTAATAGCCTATTATCTCAAATAAGGTAATAGCTATTACCAGGCCCCCTGGTATTAACTTATTCCTGAGTCCTCATGAATATTTTTTTTTTTCAATTTTAACCTTTATCATTCTCTGCGTTCTCTCCCTACGAATCATTCTACATCTACGATTTCTTCCCGATTACTTTCGTCATCAGCATCAATCATACAATTTCTTCCGCCATTCTGCATCAATCTTTGCAATTCTTTCTATCATCTACATCAAATTAAAGCTTCAAATAAAGATAATTTTCTGAATTTTATTTTTTACAAATTAATTATTATTGACATTTAATTATATAAATATGTACATATATATACTGCTGCGGTCGCACCAGTATTAATGTATTATATATATATATATATATATATATATATATATATATATATATATATATATACACTGTTGCAGCTGGGTGGCACAGTCGCAACAGTAATATATATACTGCTGCACGGAGGGTTCCGCAACAGCAGCAGTATATTGTTTTATTTATTTATTTTATATATATATATATATATATATATATATATATATATATATATATATATATATATATATATATATATATATATTGTTGCAAAAGTGTTATTGTTTTTTTTTTGTCACAGTAGTGTTATTGTTTTTTTTTTTTTTTTACCGTAGTGTTATTGTAATCTGTATAAGTTATTGTAAGTTTTAAATTAAATTTGCAGTTATGGCTCGATTGCGTTTAATAACTCGTACGAAAAGAAGGAAAAGATGTGTAGCTGTGTTGCGTGTATGGTTGGATATCTGTGCTTCTGTGAGTTTATTGTTTATAATGATGATGTCAACCTTGACAATTTTGTGTTCTAATAAAAAACGAGTGAAATCTTATATTATTGCCGTAGTGTTATCCTGTTAGAATACATAACAGAATCATACTTGCATGTTGTTTGCTGCATAATTTTATTAGAAATGAGATGACTGTTGATCCTATGGAAAATGAATTCGTACAAGGTAACGACATACATGAAGATGATGATGTTACACAAATAGAGCCTTAAGAAGTTTGGAATAATTGGAGGACAGAATTAGCAAATGACATGTTCAATGAATGGACAACATCTTGAAATTAAGGACATATTCGTTGATGTTTGATTTTGTGATTTGGTGTTTTTTGTAATGTGGTTTATGAACAATGTAATGTGTTTGCGTTTGATTAATAATTTATTATTTCAATTTATTTGTAGTTAAGAATGGATTCTCCCCCTACATCTGCAACCATCGGCTCTCAAAGTGTTAAGCAAACAAAAAGAAAGTGAACACCCGAAGAAGACATTATATTAGTGTCATGTTTGACCGAAATGCATAATGTAGGAAAATATAATTCCGATACAGGGTTTAAGACAGGTTATTTATTAGAACTTGAAACAATGATTTTGGACAAAATACCAAATTGTACCATAAAAGCTAAGCCACATATTGAGAGTAGAATTAAAACTTTGAAAAAAGAATAGGGCATTATTCAGGGTATGGTGCAAAGTAAGAACACTAGTGGGTTCGATTGGAATGACCAAAAGCACATGGTGTATGCTGAAGATGCAATTTTGGAATCATACTTAATTGTAAGTATTTACCTTTTTTTGTACTTTCATTTATTTTTATTAATGTGTACATACAACTAATTTATTTATGTTTATTATAGAGTCACAAAGAAGCTGCACCTTTTAGAACAAGAAGCTTTAGGTTTTATAATGAGCTATCTGCAATATATTCTAAAGATCGTGCAACTGGAAAAGATGCACAGACAGCAGATGATGTAGTTGAAGAAATACAAGCTGAAGAACAGAATGATATAAGAGCTGACACGGAAGATAATGCATTTGTTGGTTTGGATGATATTGATTTAACGAGTACACAACCTGAGCCACAAAATGATGGTAGAAAAATAAGCAATTCAAGTCAGAGAAAGAGAAGTCATGATGAAGGCTATTGAGATATGTGCTGAGAATATGCTTAATGCTGCGAAGCTAATAAGCAATACAATGCTAGAGGTTGGTAAGAATTCGTCCGATGGTCTTCAATATGATCGTGATATGGATATGTTTCAGAAGCTTGAACGTGCATTAAAAGAGGTTGATGGTTTGACAAATGATGAAATGGACCTTGTTTCGTTTAAGCTCACCGATCATCCTAATAAAGTAGCTTTTTTTTTCTCAGTCTTGATCCTGATCGAAGACTACCGTGGATCAGAAGATTCCTTGCCATCAATTAATCATTCTTCTTCATAGTTATATTTCATGAACATTGTAACTTTCATTGGATTGTTTTGAGTATTTTGTTAAAAATAACATATGTTATGCTTCTTCTGAATATTGTTAAATGTTCTTTAAAAAATTTTGTTATTTATATGACTATTTTGTTTCATAATTTACATATTATTGCTTCTTCTGAATATTATTGATGCCTATTAATAATAATAATAATAATAATAATAATAATAATAATAATAATAATAATAATATTATTATTATTATTATTATTATTATTATTATTATTATTATTATTATTATTATTATTATTATTATTATTATTATTTGTACAAGGGCATTTATGTCTTTTAAACATATATTCTATTCTTATTCCTTAACCAACCAAACATTGGAATACA